AAAAGACTGAAGGACGTCATAGTATGGGCCAGCCGTGACAGGTGTTGAGTACACTGAGCTTATGAAGTGGCTGTGCGTGACAATACGGGGGACAGAAAGTCTTGTGTTAGAATCTATCAACGTATGCTTACCAGCATCGACGAGCAACTGGTAGTACTATAAGAGATCCATACCAATAATGTCGGTGGGCACGTCAGCCACAATGAAGATCCAACGGAAAGAACGGCGAAGTCTGACGTTGAGGTGAGGTAATCTCCGACCGTATGCTGCGGTAGGCGAACCGTTGGCGGCACGGAGTTGTAGGGATGTTGGCCGCAGACGCTCGTCTGGTGTAGGTGGGATCACACTAGCTTCTACCCTGGTATCAACCAAGGAACGTATCCCAGAATGACGACCTGCGATTTAGGAGAGGCGGAAAAGATGTAGTTGGCCAGCGACGTTAGTCGCCATTACGTGCTGGCTCATGCATTTCACGACTACTCGGCATCAAAGGTGCAATCGCGAGTGCACCTCTGGGCATTAGCACCATAACGTCGGTGGTACCAGCACAGTCCAGTCGGGGAGTTTCGTGACTTCGGGTGCCTATTGCCAGTACTTGAGGAAGACCTATTACTAGATGGGTCTGTGCGACTACAGGCCTGAATTCTGGCTCTCACCTCTCTTCTGAAGCTACAAATCTCGTCAAGCTTGGTGATATGAGCCACTGAGTCAAACCTTGGTGACTTACCAGCAGAAGGATCCTCAAATTGGGCAGGACCGTCAGAAACCGAAGCCGAAACGCCCACTCTGGCCTTAGTGGACTCTACAGCCCTGTCGGCCTCCTGTGCTAACTGCAGTTAAGGAGAGTTGTGAAATGCTGCTCAGATACCCTGAACTGATTGAAGCAATCTTTGCAGACAAACCTGCTTCAGAAAGGCGTCATCGATCTTGAAACCAACCATTTGCCTAAGCATCTGTATGGACCTAGGGTCGCCAAGATGAACAACAAGAAAGAGCTCTCATACTTTCTGTTGATCTGTTAGTGCCACTCTCTTAATTAGGGCAACTTTGAGACCATCGAACAGGTTTGCAGATGGATCATCAAGAATGTCAGAAACTTCCGTCACGATGTTTTCGGGGAGGCTCACAATAACCAGGTCGGCCTTAGTTTCTTTTGAGTGAATATGTCTTAGAGCAAACTGAGCCTCCACGCGACTGAACCATGCAGAAGGGCAGTGTCTTCAGAAAGTCGGAATCTGCAGGGTTATGGCCATCTGCGCAGGAGAGCCGTTTTCAGCCGTCACTTAGATAAGTTGTAGGCAAATTAAAATAGACGAATATTATATAAAATAAAAGAACACAAACACAATAGTAATAGTATCAATGGGTGGGGCAGAAACTACGACAAGACGCCAAATGAAGCAAAGTGTTTGAGAAGAGGAAGGGAAGTTGGCTTCGGGCTCACCACTTGTAAGTGCCCAAGGCTAACCTCTAGATCGGCCTTAACGTCAGCACCTACTAAACTTGCTTTCCTCGGTTAACCCTGATCAGTACACTACCTAACCTGTATGTACTGATGAATGAAGTCAAATAAAAGGTGATGCACTATTGTGTGCCCAGATGTGAATTATATTAATACATTAAGCGAAAAACCAAAACTAATCTGTAGCAATAGTGTACTACTTGTCCGTTAACTGGCTGGAGTAACAAGCTTGAAGAGTGCGCTTAATGATACCAAAACGAAAGAGTGAGCCCCATGCGAGCAGTCACGCCGGAAGAATAAAGACGATGTGGTGCCATACTACATGAATGCGTTAAAGCAAAAGTTCAAACACTCAAGGTGCACTACACTTTAATATCATCACTTCTGTAAAAGACAACTACTCCTGATCCGTTATCAGGCTTTGTAATTACAAGTCTTTTCGCTATTTATCAGTCTGCTTAGTTCCTTTACGTGTTCCTTTGTCAAGAAACTTCTACAGTCATATTTGGTGATTTTATATTGTCAATAACAATCTGATTCACAGGATTCGAAGTGTTCTAGTTTCACGTTCGAGGATGGAACTAGATCCTCTTTTATGATTATATAGGTTTCCCAGCTCAAGGTTCTTTCTTGCTATACACTTTCAAAGTCGTATAGAAAAGAGCTCTGGAATGTAGGCTACCCGGTAAATCAGTTATATGAAGAATAAAAAACAAACACCGATAGGATAGTTTTATTCAAACGCCAAAAAGATATTAGCCTCTGTTTAGTGTTCACTTGATTTTCTTTGGGAATATAATTCTCTTCATATATATATATATATACATGGTGGGCTATAATCCAGAATAATAGTATTTTGTTTGCTCTACCTGAGATGACTTACAAAAGAGAAAGATATTCTCGTGTGGATATTGCTAAAAATGAGATTTTTGCTGGATAGTTTACTCCATAGTTTAGCCTAGAACTCTAAAATAACCTCAATCGATGCTTTGTTGCTGCTGATATTTTGACTGAACTAGCGTATACACATATCCTAATACTTCCTCGCATTTATATTTGTGCCCTAACGTTGCGATTACTCGACATCCGCAACGTAATTCAAAAGGCACTTGCGAAGGAATACGATAGTGTATTATAGCAGCAATCAACAATTCAAAAATCGAGCGAGTACAAAAAGTATCAATTGTTAACATGCCAGATTTAGAGTAATAAACAAATCAAAGTACAATTACATAGTGAAAGTATACTGCGATGATGAGTAATAAAACGGGTCACTACAATAGCCCCTCCGTAGAATGCAGGTAAATGAAGTTTACCTGTATTCGGAATGATATTGTAAATTACAATGACACAGAAAAAATATATGAGTTTTTGTTATGAAAACCGAATTGAGGATTTTTAGTTTTCTGAGGTTTGATAACATAACTGTATATATGCAAAAAATGTTAACAACTTCGAAACGAACCAAAATGTTTAGAAAGTTGTGCAAAATTTAACAATAAAACCAGAAAAATTATTAGAATAATAATGGGGTTGTTATTGTAAAGAGTTACGGAATAGATTTATATCTTAACATACAGTTAATAGTACCGTAATAAGGTAGTATGGAAATGACCTGGGTAAACATTCAGTTACCTCTATTTCCATGAAAGCTGGTTGTACAAGTGGAATTGTACAAGAAGAGATGGCTGTGCGAGAGAAGAGTGCAGCAGTAGCTGCTGCTGCTGATACGGTTGAAAGTGAACGTCCGTCAGCATGTTGTTGTTGTTGCTGGGGTGTTGTTGCTCGGCGTTGAGGAGTAACTTGAATTGATGTTTGCTGCGGTTGGAGAGTAGCAGTTGGTTGATTGATAGCGATTCCAACAGAAGCAGTGGGCACAAGCTGTGGTAAACCAGTGGTTTGAATCAACTGACCGTTAGGAACAACAGTCATGACTTTTAATGGAGCTCCTGGTGCCAGAGTGATAAACTGGGGAGTAGCATAGGAGCGAGCAGCTACAGTACCAGGTTGACCACTGACAGGGACGTCAGCTGCCATCATTGTTGCTTGTTGCTGATGTTGTTGGATATAAGTTGGCTGTTGAGCTGGTTGTAACTGATGAGCTTGTGCTTGAATCTGTTGTTGTTGAGGTGATTGGGTAAACTGTTGTAATTGAACAGTTGTAGGACCGGCTTGAGTTAATGGAGTTGCAGACCATTGTAAGAGTGTTTGCACACCTGTAGGCAATGCTGAAGCTGGAGGATAGAGAACTGGAATTGAGGTGTTGCATAACAGTCAGCTGCTACAGCTGCTTGAGTATCAGGGTGAACTGGGATAGCAGTCGCTGTGCCGCCAGGTCCGGAGGTACTTTTAGCAGAAATATCAGTAATTATACATCCAAATGTTATGAAGTTATAAAAGTTAATGCGATGGCAAAGATGATTTATTCCACTGTGTATACTTTGAAATGATGTAGTCCATCAATCAGCTATGTCGGGCTCGCCAATTTGTTGCTGCTGATATTTTGACTGAACTAGCGTATACACATATCCTAATACTTCCTCGCATTTATATTTGTGCCCTAACGTTGCGATTACTCGACATCCGCAACGTAATTCAAAAGGCACTTGCGAAGGAATACGATAGTGTATTATAGCAGCAATCAACAATTCAAAAATCGAGCGAGTACAAAAAGTATCAATTGTTAACATGCCAGATTTAGAGTAATAAACAAATCAAAGTACAATTACATAGTGAAAGTATACTGCGATGATGAGTAATAAAACGGGTCACTACAGCTTCAGTCGCCTTCGGTGCTGTTAGTAGTCTTTTATTTTCCCTTTGTTTCTGAAAGCTACACTTTCATCGATTGTTGATTCGTCTACATTTAACAATGAATTTAGGTTTTGTGGTGTAGATGTTCATAATTCCTACCAACTGTATTGATTATTGTTGAGACAGTGAAAGGTGTCTGTCGACGATCTGTCTTCACATTTTTGTTTTCGTGTGCCAGTGTTATTGCTATTATGTTAACAGATGTTGTGACCAGCATTTCTGGTGGATGAATTATAGACAGTATCGTAATTTACTATGGGCAACAGTATAGAATAGATAACACAATCAAATGATCTTGAACCAGTCAACCTAGGTAGAAAGTGCCATTTATAGTACGAAAAAACTACGTTTATTGAATATATATATACAACATAAATGAATTATACAGGATACATGTCTCTAACATGCTGCAAAAAGAGATCTCAGTTTTCCATGGGAGTGGCTACAGTAAACAAACCATAATCTGTGTGAGTTTCAATTATACGATCCACTAATTCTAATGAGTGATTGACTATATGACGAATATAATCAAATGATGATAGTTACATTGCTCAACATTTCGAATAGTCGCCGCCCGTAATCATCGTTGCAAGTTTCATACAAATCCTAATCTTCGCTGCAAGTTTCACCTCAATTTCAACCATAACCCTAACGCTGAATCAGCGTTAGACTTGCAATGAAAGCATTCATTTTTAATATCCAAAGATCTGATTGATTGGTCCAAGGTCATTCGACTAAGGTGTCCATTCTTTACCACTACCTTATTTTGTTATATACTCCGTCAAAAAAACTTATCCAGGTAAGAATAACGAACAAGTAGAAGAGGGCAACACAGCAGTGTACTAAACAGCGAGGAGCCTCACCAAATACCTCATGCATAAATAATTCACTAAAACACTGAAGGTTAATACCTTGCTGGTTAGTGTTATTGTTACTGTATTGCCTTTTATCTAAAGTGGCGAAATTTGATCAAATGTATGTTGAAATTACTGGAAGTAATACAAAGATAAGTAAGTATCATTTCAATTCTATGTATATATATATTTCAAATACCAGTAGAAATTAGTTTTGTAAAAATAAAGTTGAAAATACTTGCAAAAAGTGAAAGTTCGATTGAAAATTATATATCATTAGAAAGATACGTTCATCACTAATCCGTATTCAAAGTAAGACATACACCTTGCAATACCCAATGACTTGAGTGTACTTCAGTTTTAAGATAAGCTTCAAAAACTAATCCAACTCCCATTGCATTTCGCCTGTCTGAAGTTACATACACCGGGGTACAAAATGTATTTTGTAATTTTAAACGATGCGCTTCAATAGCACTGATACGAAGTATAGGCAAAGGCTGAACTAATTGTCTTGATTTTTGACGTTTTAAACAACCTTTTGTTAAATCCCAACTTGCTCCTTCTAAATAAAGTCCTTGAACAAAACATCCTTGATGTGCACGTTCTTGGACTTCAGATGAATCGGTATATTGTGTTACGGTTGTAAACAGTGCACTTTTATCTAACGGCCAACCATTACGACGGCATGTTGTTTGTGTTAAAGCCATTAAAAATGATTCAGGGATATGCAAACCCGACAACCAAATAACACCTGGATCTCCATTTTCAATCTAAAGATCACAGAAAAATCGAATAGATTTATAAGTGATAGTACAATTAAAAGGTTGAAAGTTAATAAGGTTAAACTAAAAGTTCAAGATAATATATACTGAACAAAGCAGGCATTCATAGTTTAGCAAGTTGATTGATGGATAACAGTGAAACTTCAATGGACAGGTGATGAGATATCATCTCACTCTGGAGGTTGTTTTTCACCAGGATAAATACACATTCAGATGACAACTTGATATTGAAATGAAATGCGCGTTTAAATCACAGTGATAGCCTCCATCACAAAAATATCAGTTCATGGTATTTCTCGCTACTAGCTGACATCAATTAGAGGATCACAGAAAACTAGGGAGCTTCGAACTCTTCAGCGGAAGAGCAGAACTGAGGACTGGACCAGCTATCGGGACGATGGTTTTCAAGTTACCAGGCGACTACGTTACAATCCAGCTCCTCGCCTGGAATCCAGAGACCCATGAATTCTTCTTTTCATTAACTGACTTACTGTGGGGGAGTCTTACACTTCGACAAAAAAGTTACCCGATGCTTTCTGGTTTCCAGTCTGGTATTGTTAAAAATGTTGGTTCATAATGAGATCCATCTTGAAATCAATTAGGCCTCCACGATCTCAACACTTGAATATACTAGTTTAATTTAGACAGGTGAGTGCGCTTGTAGGCAGCTCACTTTTGAATAATAAAAATGAAACCCTATCTTATAAATATCAGAAGAGTGTATGTATATGTGCGTGTGTGAGATAAAGAGGGTATGTTTGATTCCACATAAACTAACGATCTTCATCACATATTTATTTAGCCCTACATAATCCAAATAAAAAAGGAAATTATGCCACTTTGATGCATATTTTAACATTGTGAATGTTTTCGAAATTTCCACCCATGAACATCACCAGATATAAACACTTTGCCATGGGAGACAATGGACTATACAACACCTGTTAACAAACAGTAAACTTAAGAAATCTGCTACTGTAGGATGAAGCTAAAATGTCAGATAAGTTGAGATTTAGATATTTAGATTGTAGGTTTTGTTAGGAACCGGATGAATTTCGACATAGATTTCGTCCCAGGTCAACATCAGTTTGGAAATAATTGAAAGTCAGGTACGGCAAAGTTAAACAATAGCGTCCCAAGGGATGCGAACGCACGAGTGACCTTGGGCCGATCAACCATAAAAATAAGTAATTTTGGTACATAAAATGACGTTTATTTACAGGAGAAATGCATGAAAACACATTAAACAGGTTATCTTTCTCTGATATGACTTAAGAATGCATCCCAGTTATAATGAGGAGTATCACCTGCTAAGTTAGACCAGTTTCTGTACATGTATCCACCTAGGTGACTTACAGTAAGCTGTAATCCTGTTTTGCAGTATTCCCAAAAACCCGCGGTTGAATTACTATAGTTTCTAGTAAGAGGACTGACGACTACTCACCAGGAAAACGTGGATGATAAAACAAATTAAAATAAATAATACCAACTCTCATCGTAAACCAAACCTTAATGTTAACCCTAATCCTAACGCTAACAAGCTATTAACATATCGTCCAAACAATACTCTTAATAAAGTGATCTGGGTGAAATTTGCTTCTTAGTTGTTGAATAGCGTTCATTTTTACGCTGTGATAATGACATATGTTATTAGCCAACGACTAGCATGCCTTCTAGGTTAATGAAGAGTTCACACCCCTGGGACGGTATTGTTTAATTTCACCTCAGAAACGGCTAACCAGCTGTTTCGCCCTAGCTTGGGACCCTTCAGCAGTACGCACTAACAACGTCACCAGAGATTAAACCAGAAACCTATGGGTTAACAGGCGAAGCTCATTGACTATTCAGTTATTGGGCTCGAATTCTATGACCTGTGAATCCTAACTTTGTCAATTCATGATGTGGCGCTATCACTAACTAATACCATTGACGAGCACCTACTTCACCTTGGCAATGATGATAGACCCCACTGGCCCCTGTTCTTCACTAAAGTTCTGGGACATTTATTCAGTAGTAGCCAATGAACTTAGGAGTCATGTTTGTATCATGGGTACTGTAGGGATCTGGATTAATTCCCATGCATATCTTCAATTACTATCCGATCCCGAGTGGGGTTGTGGTTGGAATGCTGAAGACTCTGAGACTAGGACAAAACAGATGTCCAGTGCTTCCTCATTTTCATTGATCCCCCGACTGATGTATGGAATTGTGATGAAATCCTCACTGAGATTTAGGTGTTTGTCAATGCTCAGTGTGAATTTTTAAAAAAACGATGCTGTTCTATAAGTTGTATAGAAGACATTCTTCACCTAGCCCCCTGGAAGTTTCACTGTTGAACAGTATGTAGTCTAATTTAAGAACATCACTGGCCATAATTGCATTTCTTTTTGACAGGATATGCTTTGAAATCATTCGTTTATAGCTATGATTGCTCACTGCTGAATAAACAGTGCTAAATTTTTAGTTCTAGTAGACTAATTTGAAATGAAATACTTTTTACTCAACGTTAGAGCTTGAAGAATAGTGGGCTTCGGCAGGAAACGGAATACATAACTCTGCCTTATCAATTAGTCAATCATACATGAATTGGTCACCGAATGGTGTTGACTGAAATTTGTCGTTCAGGCAGTAAATGCAGCCATTTAAATCTGCCGTGCAGAATGACACTACTGTACACTATGACACAATTTGTTTGAATTTTTTGTGTAACAAAGTAAAACAAATAAATAACAGTTATACACTTAATTAAAATTCATTGTCCAAGAAAGTAAAACATTCAGGAGAATCTAATTGTTTTTTTTTTTTAATTGTCAGAGGTTATTTATGCTACAACTTACCCAAGTAGTATATTGCTTATGACGATCATGAAAGTGAATCATCCAATTGGCTAGAGACTTTTTAGTCGCTGGAGCTAATCTCTGCCAGATATTTGGCAGTTGACCATTGTAAAGAGATCGTGACAAATTATCAAGTTCAGCTGACATACCAACTTCTCCATTTAATGCTCGTTTCAATGTTCTGAGAGATTGATCCATTCTTTTAATGAGTAAGTTAAATCTTTCAAGTTCCTACAGTGGAAAAAGAAAACAACAACATGCAGAAACTTGTGACTTTTGCCACAAAGAGTATATAATATCTTGAAGATTAATCATGTCAAGCTATGTGTAAGAAACTGAGAGGAATTGGGGTGTATTCAATTGGTGGGTGGTGACTAGCAGTGGAATCCAAGATGCCCATTTTTTGTCTTATTTGGGACTCGTCCTCTGGATGTACCTGCACTCCTCAGTGAGTGATGGTGTTCCCACAGAGGCTCGAACCCAGTGCCTATAGTTCCAAACGACAAAACGTTATCCAATAGACCACCTGGGCTTTGTCAGTTATATAATTCAATTTAGATTTTCCCGTCGATTGATTGGACCGAAGTGCTTGATGTCAGGTTGACATGTCGGTTCCTTGTGCAGATGCTCCGACGATATCTGGGCGTGTAATTAGAATTTAATTGGTGGATGGTGACTAGCAATTGAATCCACATGTGTCGCAGACTATGCGTCACTCCGCCGAATTTACACTCCATCGCCTGTTTCTCGTCGTCATATGGGACCTCTGAGTGTGGACGATCCGCCACACCAATACTGCATTCACTACGCACGCTTCTATCTGTCGCATCTTCCTTCTATTCGCACAATTACCACTCCGAACTATACCACACTGGAATATTATCACAGCCTCACTCATCTCGTGACGCGATCATCATAAATAGTTCGATGATGCGTGTCTCTTTCTACTCAGCTGCAGTGTCACTCAGTGAACAATGACGGCGCCGGTGGTGCAGCGGCAGACTGCTCACCAACCACGCATGCAGGTACATTCATATGATGAGTCCCAAATAAGACGAAATGCGCATCCTGGATTCCACTGCTAGTCACCATCCACCAATTAAATTCTAATTACACGCCCAGACACAGTCGAAGCATCTGCACAAGGAGCCTACATGTCAACCTGAGACCGAGCACTTCGGTCCAATCAATCGACGGGAAAATTTAAAATTCAGTTAAATAATTTTGGTGTAGTTCTGTTTTCTGAGCCGAATGATTTCTTTGCGAAGCTTTCATTGATCTACTGGGCAACACCTTCAGCGTATACTTCAATTTGAATTGAGCTTTCAGATTTCTCCACGAGTTTGTAAGTCATCCCTCTTGGTGATCTCCAACTTGATTGGTTCCTTTTGTCTGTTTTCACACCATCGGGGCTACTTGTATTGATTGTATTGTAATTATACTCTACCACAGTGCACAAGTTCCATTCTTATACTTGTATTCGTATTGATTGTTTCCTTGACTTGAATTTTAACCCCTTTGTGTGAGATTTCCTTCTTATCGATTGGTAAATTTTGTCTATATCAGTGTGTCTATCAATTGAAGATTCATCGGAATACCTGGCTTCTGAAAATTCTCTGGGATTCTTGGTGTTTCCTCTGTCTAATATTTGGACGTTGTCCTAGTCGAGTTGATGTCCGTAGTTGTCTGTATGCAGCAATATGAGGGAGTGGATTTCAATATCTTTTGACGGATAGTTTATGATCATACGGATACGAAGAAGAAGAAGAGGGTGTCCACTTTGGCCAATGTAGTGTTTTTTGCAGTCATTGCAATTTATATTGCAGATGATGTAGGTTTTATCTTATTTCGCTGTTGAGTTTGCCTTTTAGTTGACACATGAATGACTGAGTGAAGTGATTTTGTTGGTTTTTGTGCGACGTCAATTCCTAAGGGTTTGAAGAGTCTTGCAGTGATTTCTGAGATGCTGTCTTTTAAATATGGTAGCGTGATTTTCTTTGTGCTTTCCGTGGGGGCCTCTGATTTAGTAGATGGGCTTTGGAATATATATCTTTTGATGAACTTCCATGAGAAATTTTTCTTCAATTTTCACTGAGGTAGGAATGATTCAATGAGTCCTGAATAGTGTTTGTATTCAACTCCTTTTGTGCGGTATTGGATTGTTGCTGTTGTAATTGAGTATTTAGTCTGTGTGAGTTGATTTCCGATAAACAACCCTGCTCAGAGAACACAACTACATCAAAATCATCCACCTGAGATACACATCTTCTCCATTATATCTGAGAGAGATGTTTCACCTGATATATATCCATTTTCCTACTTTTTAAGTAAAATATTTATGAAGATATTCAAGTGAAATAACTCTTAAACGTTGATCAAAATGAATAGAAAGAGTTACACTCTTATTTCATTGTAGTGCAACTTGAAAAAGACACATCAAAGCTTGATGAACACTGAAGCTTTTTTCGTAATTATAATTTTCCAAGTATTGGTTTTGTAGGGATTGTGTTTGATTGGTTGGAGGGTTTCATCATGAACTGACATCAGTTAGAGAAACATTAGAGAGCCTGGTAGTACTGGACAGCTGCTTCGTCCTAGTTTGGGACTCTTCGTCAGTGCGCACCCACCGCCGGAGTGCGAACCCAAGACTTTCCGGTTACAAGGCTAGTGAGCTCATAGACCATTAACCCACTGGCACCAGATCCAATGTCCAGCCCATGAATTCCAACTTCTGCCAATTCATGACACAGCGCGACCAACTCGTAATGTCTTCTTCGATGAGTTACTGCTCCAACTGCCTCAACCTGCTGTATCCTACTAGTCACGACTTCCCACTAGAACCCCAAGTTAACTGCCTGAATAGGGCCAGTCGCTAGTGAGCATCAGAATAATTATTATTTTGAATTCGAAAATATAAAATAATCTTCGCTACTGAGAAAATCATATTATTCACAAATTAAACAGACAAAACAATAAAAAAAGTAATGTTCAGCTGTTGGTTTTCAGGGATTTGACTGACTGGTAACATGATTTCATCATGAGCTGACATAGGTTAGATAACCAATGGAAAATCAGCGGTGAGCACTGGACAGCTATTTCGTTGTCGTTTGCGACTCCTCATCAGTGTGCACCCTCGGAGCTTTAAACTATGTCCTTCAATGACTTAATGGTCTACGAACCTGCTTCATAACCGGAAAGTCCGAAATTTCATCCCCTTGAATTGTGTAAATTGCAAATTAATTTTCAGATTGTGGATTTGATACAAAAATGCCACTTAGAAAATTTACTAACCTGTAATAGTACAACTGTAATTGGTTGTATATTAACACCGTATTTCTTTTTTAAAGCTTCTCTATCAAATACTTGTGGAAGGCTGCCTAGTAAACCATCAGTTATCTGACTAAGAAATTCTTCTCTATTCGTTGAATTTGTTTGACTACTTGTTTGTGGTTGTAATTCAAGTAGATGACTCCAAATCTCTTTAGTTGCATTTGTATAATATCCTATTTCTGCATTGGAATGAAGACCAAACACTTCAGGAGTATTTGTTAAAGGAAGGGACTCGATATAACCTAGATTAATAATGATAATAAATTATAACTAACATACTATTCCTTATTAAGTATTACAAAATAAAACGTAATTATATACGTTAGATTGAACAAAATCTGTCTAACTGTTAAATGAATAATTCCTGAGTTTTACATAAGATAATGCTTCATATCTGATCTGTAGCAACTCTAGATTTGACGACAATGGCTGAAATGGCTGAATGTGTTAACCACTCCATTCATTAGGCAAGTTGCATCAGCCTTAATGGATTGATTGCTGACGAAATCTCAGCTTGGATACAAACGGCTAGTTCTTGGCATTGGCCCCTCTCAATCCTCTTTGTCAAATAAGCTATATTCGAACACCTATCACACAGCATATACACTTTATAACAGTTCATCCTGTCCTACCTTATGACTGTCACAGATACCTGCTGACATTTGAGGATAGTAGAAGATCAGTGGCATTTAGACCACAGTTGCTTCCATTCAATTTCCCATGTTAAGTAGATCAATATGGTCAGGAATAATAGGATGAGGCGTAGAATCTAAGGTAAAGAGAGGAAGTCATTGATGGGGTTGTGAAGCATACCAAACCTCCGCTTTCCTTGACGAGCGAAATCATCTGAATTAGAAGTAGATTGGAAATTGGTTAAAGGTGGTGAGATAAAAACGTAGCACCAACACATGAAGTCTTTTACTGTTGGTTTGAGACTGCTGGTGACATAATTCAAGGTCCGTGACATTCAAGAAGATGTACTTATTCCTTGTCATTTTCTAGATCCTAAAAATCCTTATCATTTTTCGTCTAACTATTTATTTTATTTATTTTATTTTGATTTACAGCTTGATTCCACACCGTATTTTCAGTACAAGTGTGGAATTTTCAGCATGGATATCGGTAGCCCAAACTCAGGCCGACCATAGATAGTAGGAGACTTTCGTCTATCAGAGTTTCATAACATTTATCTACTCTAATATTATGCGTGCTTTTCCAAAATGTGGTAACTTGAACTGATTCACATTTGTTAAAAGTCCTATTCCATCATAGGTAAAATTTATTTTGATAAAGTCTTAGTGTTATACGGTAATATTTACTGATGACGTTTCGAGCACAATTTATTGCTCACAATCATACGATTGGTTCTTAGAGCCTCAAAGAACTCACTAGTCAGACAGTCATCACCTCTGCACACCAATGAAACGGCATTTTGCGACCTCACCTACAGTTAGAGGACCAATGCCCATATCATCCCAATCGGGTGTTGGATGGTGTACAACTGTTGTGCATTTGTAGGTCAAATAAATTTCTTTCCACAATGTTTCGCCAAACGTTCTGCTCATCTCTTTGTTTTGGAAAAGTAATTCAAATTCCACCCATCCTGGAGACCATTTCAATTACTACAGATTTTTGACCAGCCGTTTGCCTGATAAGCCCAAATAGGTAGGTGTTGTGCATTATCTCTATTACTTTTGTCGCTCATTATAGTAAGGCCATAAATCACGTATTTCTGAAGTCACTACTGCTTCAAAGTGTGAAGATACTATAATGACACTATAATGAACTTGTAAATGTCAAATTTGAACTGAAAAAATTTGGTTAAAGGAAGAGACACGCCTTCTAACAAATATAAACAACTGTTAAACTAAGGTAAGAGAAACATATCCAACACGTATCATTTTTCAACAATTCAAAATGTCACCTGATACAATTTAAACAAATGATATCATTCAATTTTCAATTATGACTTCTGTTTGTCAAAATATATTGACATTAAATAAAAGAACTAGCCAACTAACTAACGACACAGAAACTTACGACTAAATTCATCACGTGTAGTTCCACTCGGTATAGCATACTGGAAATTGTCATTAGCATAAAAATAAAACGGTTGAAATGTATCGAAAATAAAATCACCAAAATATTCATCCATATAAGTGCGTAGAATACGTCTGTCGAATTCATCTATAGCTCGTCCACCATACATTACTTCACCAATTAAATATTTTAAACTATTCCATGGAATTTTCACTTCATTTTCGTCTACAGCCTTTTGTAAATATGTGACTAATATTTGCATACAAACACGAAAATCAGATTCATTAAAATCATACCCGATATTCCAACCAATTTTACCATATTTTCTACGTTCTTGTACAACAGCATGAAAGAATGCCAGTGTATAAACTAGTGAAGGAAATGCTGTATGCGTACACTCAGTCATATCGGATGGTGCTATTTTATGATAAGTGGCGCGTAAATTTAATTTTAAACCATTTGGCGGTTCAGTGACTACTTTTAGTGAACGTTGTAAAATACTAATCGGGAATGAATCACACGGTTCTGTTGTTAACCATAAACGAAAATCTGGATGAGGTTTTGTTAATTTTTCTAAATATTTTTCCAGCACTTGTAACCATTTCACTAATAAATGACAATTTTGTAACATTAACCAATGCCCACGAGAAATTGACAATTCAAGGAGACTTTCAGCATTCTTCTCTTGACCTTGACCCATAGAGAGGAATTTAATTCGACTGAAATCGAAATTTTGTCTTTCAGCAAATTTCATTAAATCCGCTGTTGGATCTGAACCTGGACTGAGAATGAAAACGATAGGAGATCTTGATGTGCTCTGTTCATAAATTGTTGTAAAACTTAATATTGGTGGACTGACAAAGTCTTCACCCATGATATCAGCTATATACAGTGTAATAGCACGATAGATTCTATCCACTCGAAAACAACGTAATAAGCAGAGACGTTGAAATCTATCCAATTTTTCTTCATAACTTCCTGGTATCGCTGTACTTTCAGGAGTATCAGATTCATACCACTGAAAATTAAGAGAAGTTGGAAGAAGGAAAATGAAGAAAAGTTATAATTTTAGTAGTTTCTTTTTAGGTTTTAGTGTTCATTATATTTGAAATTACAATGAAAATATTACGTCTTTATTGAATAGTATTCTGATAATATATACCATACATATAATTCGTGGTAAATTCCCTATGGAACACTTTTTTGTTTTTTTCCTTTAAGTTCCTAGTGGGACATAGTGTAACAACAGAAGACAAGGGCCAGGCAACAGATCGTTTATTTACGAAATCAACAGATATTTATAGATTTTCATGTACATTATTATAGATTATTGCAAACAAACAAACACTGTCTTCTGACTGGTGGTTTCTCTCTGAACGTTAATCTTTCATCTCTTTGTGGCCGTTTATTGAAGTTCAGATTATCTATCTGCAAATTGTATCCGCCTACGCAAAGTCTGCTGTGATTAGTTGTTCAGTCAGTCTTTGTTCTTATTTTTCTCATGACCAATATTGGGGACGTAAACATTGACGCAAATTACTGTCTACCAATTAGGCTAGCAGCCAGCTCTCACCACAATAGGACTTCAGGCTACAGGTTTGAAGTTTCTGTAGCAGTGGTTATTATTTTTACAGGATGAGGTTGCTAGCCTCATGCCCAACTTTCCCTCTTTACCAATCTTACTACTGGCTTAGTGAGGTAAAGGAGTGCGTCGGTGGCCGAGGATCGAACCCGGGACCACCTGAGTGGTCGGCGAGCACTGTACCGCTCTGCCACCGGCACACAAGGGACACTTAGATAATCAAAACAGGTGATTCACCGAAGAGTCTCTTTTCAACTCAGGCTTTGTCATAAAGTATGCAAGAACAGTAAGAATAGTACAGTTATGAAGAGGTGGGAGTGGGGCTATGAGAAGTGCAATAGTTGAACACCTGATTCCATATTAATTTGTTTATTAAATATGTCACACGGTAAAACAGTATTATTTATTGGATGAAACACTTTCGAACACAATCTAGTATTGTTCATAATCATATCAGCCATAATCACATGACTTCGAAACTCGTTTTATAATTTTCTTTATCCCTTCCTATTCATCTTATGGGTAGTAGGAATTTCACAGATATCCGGGAAAGGTATTGAATCATTCCTACTGCATGTACTTCCAGCTGATTCGATAAATAAAGCTTCAGTTATCAGCCTCTTTCTCCACCCAGTGTGTCAGATTTTAAGACTGTAATTTTATCCCACCCTATTGTATGGTTGCTGGGTGACATCGCACGTCAGGCCAATGCTCGAGTGGAACCCGAAAGGGAAGCGGCGAGTGGGACGTCCAAGGGTGACATGGAGGAGATCATGTGAAGAGGAACTGAAACAGTATGGATTAACATGGATACAAGTGAAAAGTACAGCACAAGAAAGAAGCAAGTGGAGACGTGCAGTTGAAGCCCTATGTTTCACTAGGAACCCAAGGGAACAATAATAATAATAATTGTATGGTTGTGTGTAATTTCATGTAGTGCTATATCTGAGCTATTCCCCATATTTCTTATTTTATTACAGTCAACTAATCTAGGTTTATGAAGCCTTTTGTGCTCCTCTAGTCTGAATGACCCCCTTCTACTACTCTGACCTATGTATTCGACCTGACTGTCATTGCAGCGTATTTGATAAGGTAATAAAACGGGGTCAGTCAAACTAGCGGAGCACAAAAACCTTCCTTAATCTAGATTAGTTGACCGTAATAAAATAAGAAATATGGGGAATAGCTCAGATATAGCACAACATGAAATTACACACAACCATACAATAGAGTGAGATAAAATAACAGTCTGAAAATCTGACATAACAGGGTGGAGAAAGAGGTTGATAACTGAAGCTCCACTTGTCGAATCAGCTGGGAGTACATGCAGTAGGAATGATTCAACAACTGTCCTGGATATCTGGAAAATTCTTACTACCGTTATGACGAATAGGAAAGAATAAAGAAAACTATAAAAGGAGAATTTTGAAATTGTGTCGTTATAATTGATATGATTATGAACAACAATAGAATGTTAACAGCCTTGTAACCGGAAGGTCCTGAATCCGATCCTATTTAGAGTCATGAGTGCTGAAGAGTGTCAAGCAGGGACGAAACATTCATCCATTACTTTGTTGTTTTCAATGGTTCTCTGAATTATATCGTTTTGCTACGTAAGTT